CCAAACCTTTTCATAACTGAAATAGTGAAGGAGCCAGGGCCTCCATGGAGTCCACGAGGGGCTTTACTATTGCCAGTTGTTTTTCCATGGAAAGTACGCAGCCACTGCAGTATGTGTCCTAGAACAGTTAGCTTAAATATTTGGATGAAGATTGTAGAAAGGCTTGACTAGAATAAATACTTCTAACCTCTTGTGAATTTGCTGTGGTATTTCTGACTTACCGCATGGAGCTGTGTACTGACTAAAATCAATAATTTGGTGGCTGGTCCTAACTGCTGCTGCATGAAGCTTCTCTGTTGTTTTGTCACAGCTACGGCCCTGTTTTCTCTCCTAATTTGTTGTGCTTGCTCAGTGAAATTGAATCCCATGTCATTTCAGGCAAGTCTTGGAGAAGTTGTTTTCCTTGGTGCAGATGGCTCTTTCCTCCAGATGTGACAGGCAGCTAAGAGCTGCCTCATTTTTTCTTAACCCTTCTGCCCATCTTGAAATCACATTGATGATGTGGCCACAGTAGCACCATGATTTTTGTCTCGTATCTGACTTTCCTGTGACTATAAGCTGTCATTCGTGTCAGTCTCAGCATGTGCCACACAGGCTCCTGTTACCTAATGTAAGTTGCTTTGGACTGTTTGGTTTGTTTTCTTGTCTGTTTTAATGAGGACAACATAAAACTCAAGTGCGTGGTGGCCCCTGGGAGATGTCCCTGCTGGAAGCTCTCACGGCAGCTTGGCTCCGGCGAGGGTGCAGCCCTTCGTGTTTGCAGTTCCAAATGTTCCAGCCTTGCATCTTGAGCCCAAAGCAGCCAAGGAGAACCTGTACCCTTGCTGTTTCCCTTCACCCTGCTTGTTTCACTTGGGAACACAATGAGCTGTCAAAATTTCCTGCCCTGTTTCCACAGAATCCTTCCTTTTGCTCCAAAAAGGATTATTTATCTAAAACTGCTAATTGCATAAATTGTCAGAACAATTGTTTAGCTTGATTTTAAGGTGGAGAACAGAGAGATGTAAGGGTCTGGTGGACTGATGAAAGTTGCCCTCAAAGTCCTCTGTCAAAGTGAAAAAGACAGTCTGGTATGTTGTTATGAATGGCCTTTGCCTCTCAGAAACTGAAAATCATGTGATATGGTGTACATCTGGTGCAATCTCTATTTTTATTATCTCTGTTGAGTGTACTTAGAGGTAATTAAAAGCAATGGGGAAGAATATAAATGTTTTCCAAATAAGTGAGCCAAGACAAAATGGAGGAAGGCAGGTGTGATTGATTTAGCCCACCACCACTTCCTAACTAATCTTTCTCTAATGATGTGGAAAGAGACTAGGTGGCACCTGGCGAAGTATTTTGAAATAACAGATTAATGAGGTAGAGCTACTTGATAACATCTTTGACTCATCAGAAACTTGCCTTCCCTGAGGGTAAAGTTAATAATCCTCAAATATAAGGATTTTAGTGGCTTTCACTAAGTCAGTGAAGATGCAGATTTACTCTTCATATAGATTCCTACAGTGCTAGAAACAGCCCAAAATTTTATTATCTGTAAAAAATGTAAAATGGCACAAATAGCCCATCAGAATCATCAATAATTTTCCATGACTTCAGGTCCTTGGCTCTGCTGGGTAAGTAAAACTCATTCACATTTTCTTAGTTTGAGGAACACAGAGCTGGTAGCAATTTTACCAATCATTTTGTATAGTCCTTAACTATTTCAGGTCATCTTTCAGTATAAAGCCCATGCCATCAACTGCTTCAGTTGTTTCATCTCCACCTTCAGAATGTTAGTCTTCTGATCACCTAAGTGATTCTTTTACCACTCTGCTGCTTATCAGTGGTTTTATCAACTGCGTCCATTACTTCAGGGTGATTTTTCCTTTTGTAAAATGGCTCTGTATTGCCCAGATCATCCTCCTAGAGGTCCTTCTCTCCACTTTTTCCAGGAGGAATTCAGCTTCCTCAGAGGCAGTATTTCAGATTAATTTAAACCAAAGTGCTTTGACTAATGGCACCAATACCTCCCTTTCTTTCCCTCTCTTTACTGGAATTATCTTGCCTGAATAGTGTACATGTGTGTCTGAGTTGGCCAGTCTTCAGTTCTGTAGGAGACAGCAGCAGCACCATGAGGGGAAGCTGTACGACCAGTAAAATGAAAGTGGAAGCTGCAGGTAGCTGGGCCATAGAGCAGTTGGGGCAGAGAAGGTGACAGTAGTGGTGAACTTTATTTAAAATAGCTGTAGCTGTATATACCTGGTATCTCCCAGCTTTGTGTTATCATCAAATGTCACTAGTGCTGTCTTAATTCTGTGTCAAGATCATCAATAAAAAATTTTAGGACCATTCCCAATATGAGTCTTCTGAAGATCATGCAGCAATTGTTTCCAAGCAAAAGCTTCCTTTCAGTGCACTTTGTCATATTCTTACTTCTAGTCTTTTCCAACTTCAGTTTTTGTACACATCTCTTGCCTTCTCTTATACGCTTAACAAAGTCCATATGATTGAAATGCACTACAGTATTGATTTTTTCCTCTTGTCTAACTGTTAGCTATTTTATTCAAGGTAATTAAGTATCAAATTTTATCTTGTATGGTCTACTTTGAGTAAGCCCACATTGTGTTATCTCCTATGTTCCAGTTGTCTACTTCTCTTCCTCAAAATTTGGGGTCACACTATTAAGATCAGAGTTAGGCAATTCTTTTGATTCGTAACCTTGTATGATTTTGTTATTCTAGTACTATGGTACCTCTCTTGATCTGATAGATATGTTATTTCATGCCCAGAAAGAAAATCAGTCTTTCTGGGTTTTCAGTATCATATGCCTTGGGTTTTTTTCAGATTTTTGGAGTTTGAATTTCTGTCTTTTTTTTTTTTTTCAAAGTCTGTTGATTTAGTCAGGAGTAACATGTTTATCAGTGTGTTAACACAGGGGATTATTTGCAGTTTCCTGTTAATTCATTGATGCATACAGAAAAAAACAAAAGCCTCAATCAAGGCATGCTCTGAATTTACACCCGTTCTTAATTTGCTGATGCTTGTATTAGAGACAGGCTCAAGCCTGTCTGATTTTTTTGGGTCTATATAATGTGTACCATATGCTTGCCATTCTTAGTTTTTCTGTGCAAATCAGCCAATCTGGTGGGTCTACCTGTGGTGGAGAGCAGTGCTTTTCAGTTGGGGTGCTGCCTTACAAGCTCTGACTCATGGGTGCTGATGAGTCTTGCTTCGGTGTTTCATGAACTCCGCAGCTATATGCTCCACCCTTCTGCCCTTTAACAGAAGGATTGCAGGGAAATAGATTGATACACCTCTGTTGCCACAAGTTGCATATGATTTTAAACTGTTGATGAAGGTAGACCCATGCGACCATCACACCTGTGAAGTGCAACAGCTGACGAGCAGGCAGAGCTTTGCACCTCCTGCCCCGGCTACCAGGAGGGGTAAGTGGGGTCAACAACAGCTTGAGTCGGTTTGGGCTGGTTCCATAGAGCAAGTGGTTGGCAGGCGGGAGCTGAGTACAGGGAACACGTGTTCTGCCTCTGGAAACACAAAAGCAAAGCAAAAATAAGGACGAGAGAGAATAGATTTATATTTATAATCAAAAGTGACTGTGTTGGAAATATTCTTAATTTGAGTTCACACTCCTGTGTCTTTCGTACTTCTAAGGACCCCTAGAGGGCACGGAAGTTTTTCTCCACCTCAGATACTTAATAGTTCTACTTGGCTTTCTTCCCTTAAACATAATTGTAAGCACATTTTGAGTGAGCATTAGATAGGAAAACATAACAGCATCTAAGTCCTTCTTTTATGCTGCAAGATGTTTTTATGTTTTTAAACACAAGCAGTAGAAGCTAGCACTGGCAGCCAAATTCTTAAATTATTTTTATTTAGATTAGTCAGATGCTATATTCATATGCCAGAGGAAGCACAAGTCAAACTAACTAATAATTCATAATTTTATTGCAAACTTTAAGAGGCCTACAGTGTGAGCTGTCTGAGGAAGTGCAGTGGGTATGCTTTCAACACTGTGACCTGTGTTTCTATAGAGGGATTGGTATTGTGAAGAATTAGAGTACTCAAACCTGATCCTCTAAAATATCCAAACTATATCTTATTTACAAATTTTTTATATTTTGGTCTTGTTATTTGCCTGTAAAGAAACAATTGCATTACAGTACAAGATATTTAAGTTTATGGAAATGTAAAAATAACATCTGCTTCCCACTACTTCCTATCTACTTGGATAGAGGTTTTGTAACTCTTATTCATCCTGAGTAGCATTTTCTCCTTAAATGAGTTTTGCCTATTTTATCAATATTACGTGGTAAATCAGGAACTAATTGGTGTGAATTACACAGTGATACTAATTCTTAGTATTGTGTTGTTACTTTATGATATTTAAATATACACCCTAAAGCTCTGGAGTAATGCTTATCTGAGAACATCAGGTTTCACTTACATAAAGGAGCTTTGGTGTTTGAGGAGAAGGCTGACATTTTCCAGGATGCTCAAAGAGCAGAAAGTAAAACAAAAACAAATAATCAAACCAACAAACAAACAAAAAAACTTAAAAAAATCTTCATATTTTGTTTGGGGATTTTTTTCATCAACTCATGATTTTGAGACCAGTCCCACAGCTTTGGAGGTCAGTTGGACTGTGAGCCTAGTCCAAGGTTGAGACCTTTGTGTGTGATGCCATGACAGTCAGAATCCAACTGGCCTTGTCTGGGCAAAAAACTGCACTACTCCTGAAGCAGTGAGAGTCTATTTACTGGGCAAGAAGCTGTTCAACAGGATAAACACGAGGTTTTTCGTGTCTTTGTTCTGATAAGAGGATCAGCTGTACTGCTTTACCCAATTACCCAAGGATGTCATGGGAGATGATTTTTTGGACCTAAGTTTTCCCACTGGAGGAGTGTAACGTCATCACTTTGAACAGAAAATAGATCTAGATCTAAACAGCAGAGAAAGGCAGCTGCCCCTTCTAATGTCTCTGGGGATTTTGTGTTTTGCAGGAGATGCACGGGTGAGAGGTCAGACAGGGGTTCTCTCCGAGCGCCGTGGCTCCTACCCGTTTATAGACTTCCGTCTTCTTAACAGTAAGTGCAGCCCTTCCTTCAGGTCTGTATTTAAATAAATAAAAAAAAAAAAAAATCTGTATTGAAGTATATGAACCAAAGTATCTCATTTCATACGTATCTGTAGTTCAGCTGTTTTCACACAGTCAGCATTAATAATGCTATTATTCCCACCCAATGTTTGACTGTGAAATGTTTTGATTGTATGAATACTGTCCATAATGCTGAGTCTGTCAAGTAAATACAGTAGTGCCATGGGGTGTGCTGGAGGGAACAGGGGGTGCTTCAGAATTAAAAAGATAAACCTCTGTGTCCTTTAGCCTCTTAGCCAACAGTTGGAACAGATTTATGTGAGTCTGTTATCCGGTCATATAGAATTGGCACAGAAGGGGAGCATGTGACAGCACTGACCAGTGGTTTACAATAACATTAATTTTTCAAACAATTAGAACCCAATCCAAAGCCCCATGGAGTCTTCTCATTGACGTCAATGGATTTTGGGTCAGGCCAGCAGTGAACATCTGTTAAAAATAATCTTAACCTCATTTTGATTGAAGTTATTTTGCCACTGTTGTAAATAAAGGAGGGAAAATCTAAAAGAAAAAAGAAATCGAGATCCTGTTATGTTTTTTTTCCACCTGATGGATCCTCTATACTGATGCAGACCCATTAGCCAGTGTGTAAAAAATAAAATAAAATAAAAAAGCAGAGAACACTTAGCCTTGGGCCCTGTAGCATTCAGTCTGGATGCTGTGTTAACTCCAATGTTCAGACACAGGCAGATCTTAGTCTGTCCTTGTGTACTGCACAGACCGCTCCATGTAACCTTTGAAACAAAAGTTACTCACTGTCTTCATCAAAACAGACTGAAACTCCAACAGTTTGTTTAGTGATGACACTTCTAAGCTTCTAGCAATTATGCTTTTCATTAAAAAGCAATTGTCAAACCAAAGTTTTACGTCTCCTTTTTGTAACTGTTTGCCTGAATGCCTGGGGAAGGGGAAGGGAGGGAGGTGGTGGGGATGGGAGGAGAAGCCCAGCTGCAAAGGGTGAGGCCTGGCTGGGGCTCAGGAGAAAAGAGAGACTAATAGGAAGGGGAGGACCTGGGCTCTGATCAGCTGCATTCGCCCAAGCTGGCAAGGTGCTTGCTTTTGGTCTTGCTGATTAAAGGTGTTTTCTCGGTCACAAGTCCATCAGAGTGCTTGCTATGGCTGAAGTAGAAAGGCGTAAGGGGTGAGGTGGATCCAGCAGTTTTCCCAGGACAAAGGGAATAATGTACTGGCTGAGCAGAGCTCTGAGGATAGTTTAGTCCTGGCTTGCCAATGCAAAATGTGAAGAACCTGGTTTGGACTCGCTGGAAATACTATTGTTGATGCCCTTGTAAAGACTGAGAGAAAATAAAACACTTCATTCATGAAGTAGAAGTCAATATATATTCACATTCGAATGCGGCTAAATTAATTACTTGCTTTTGATTTTTAATACATACATGTTATTTAAAATTCTCATCATACGTTCTTTCCTCTCCCTGGTTAAAGAAACCAAAAACTTTTCAGCTCTTTTTTCTGATGATAGGGCTTTCAGTTTTATCCCCTGTAGATGAACCCTGCCATCCTTCAGATCCCACGAGCTTCTGGGAACTGGGAAATGCTGGTGCTGTCCATGGGCTGTCTAGGGGGAGATCCATGGCGAGAGATTTACCGGTTAAAACTCAGCCTTTGGTCATACAAGGAGCAGGGCACTCTGCATAATCCCTCTCCTGTAGCTGCCGAACTTAAAAGTGGTGCCTCTCTCCTCAGGCGTCTCTGGTCCCATGGAGGTGAGGCACCTGGGGCTTTATGTTCCTGTGCAAACTGTCCCGGGGACGTCCACTTATTCTTCCTTTTTACTGCTTTTCCTTAACCTGAAAGAAATCACTGCAGCTGATCATGATCTCTGTAAGGAAAAGCAGTGATCCTGACTTTGGATTTCCCATTGTTTTCAGTTTTTTATGTATTTACTGCTTTCTCCTCAGGGAGTGGTGCTGGCTTAATTTTTCAGTGCAAAATGAAGTGAGATTTCTATGCACATGACTGCTAATTTCGTAGACAGCAAGTGCACTGGGCCTGGCTGACTTGGTGATGTATGGGTAGATGAAGATGGTCAGTGTCAGAGCATGCAGATGTGTTTTTCCAGGAAGTAAACAGACTTATATTATTTGTTCATATACATCTGACTGTCAAATCCATTTCTGCTGTGCACACCATATAAGCAGCAAAACCATGGTGTTGCACATCCTGTCAAAAATAAACATATATAAATGTCACTGCTGCAAACTTTTTTGAAAAGAGCCTAACTAATACCTTCAGTAAAATTTTGACACTACGTTACATTTGTTTGGGGGCAATAACTGACAGGCAGCAACTGTATACTGAAAGCTGTTACAGTAAAGGAGGGATGAGGCAGAGAAAATTTTATGGTAAATATCCTCAGAAGTTATAAAGAAATGCATCACAAACATTACTCCAGCTTCTCACTAATTGAGACAAACTGAGCTTAAATAGTGACTGTTCCCGCTACCATCTGAAATATTCCAAATAACAGTACTACCCTTGTTTTAAAGTATGGGGAAAGGCTGAACCTCATTCTTGAATGGAGTTGACATTCATTTTGCAAATTGACATTAAAAAAAAATATTCAGGGCATTGCTATTGTCAGACTAAAGGTTACTTAAATGTGACTTTTTTAACACCCTTTCAGATTCAGTCAAACCGAAGGGGAATTTTCCCTACTATGGCTATTAAGAGTTAACACCGAGTAGACTATATCTTTTTTTTTTTTTTTCTCTGGAGTCCTGCAGTAAAGTCACTGTGTAACTTAAGACACCGTTAAGTCTTTTTGGATAGGAAAACTTCCTGCACTCTGAAAATGGGATCTTCTGTAGCTCTAATCAAAGCCAACTGGATTAATGTTGGCTTCTTGCTGTTTGAGCTAACGTCTGTGATGCCATCTACACATTCCTCCGATGCCTCTCTGCAACACATAGAAAGTTAGTGAGTGTTATTTCACCTTGTCAGTGCCAGGCTGTCAGGACTGTGAGGATTTTGCAAGGATCCTGTCTGGAAGAGATGCAAGGCTTTAGCATCTTCCTGTCTTTCCTCTGCCTAGTTGCAAGCTTTCCTTGAGGCACAGTTGCAATGGTGGATTTTGGGACTCTTAAGATGGCTTTGGGATACAAAACTGAATGTAAAATACCCCTGTGTCACCAAGAGCTCCTCGGTTCTGCATTGCGAGGAGCATATGTTTGCCTCACCCTCTCAAGTCAGTCCCTGCAACTTGTGGAGACTTGCATGACCAACCAGATACGCGCTGGTGTTGGGAGCGTTGAGACAGAAGCTTGAGGGGAAGCTGTGTAGCGGCTCCTCTCCCCAGGGAAGCTGGGGCAGCCGATGCTTGTTAGCCAGCCTGGTGTGAAGGTCCCCCGGAGGCAAGCCAACCAGCCCTTTTTCCATTCTGCCATAATAAGGCAAGAGGACCACCTGCTCCTGATGGCCGTAGATACACCCCTGAAAAAAATTAGCCGGACGTGGCAGGCCTGAGGCTCCACATTCACCTTATGAACAAATATTCAGACTTTACAAACTCCTAAACTAAAAGTTTATAAGGTACAAGAAAAAGGGTTTAAAAGATACAAGTTCTGCACAACCCTAGAGGCTTATAGGAAAATCGGGAGAGGGTTTTCTCTTCGTGCAAATAAGGCGTTCCTTAAAATGGGAGCAGGGGAAGAAAACCTAACCTAACGCAGGTTGAAAGTAATGATGGCAGTTTATTGGCACTTCTGCATTTCTGTGAATTAAATTAACCTTTTTGTGTTCACAGGACAGAAAAAAAGTTAAACTGAATATTTGCAAGGTAATAATGAAGAATTTGAAGCACTTCTGCAGTGAAAATTAACTTGATCCAATTTTCCTTTTAGCAAAACATAGTTTAGATTTGAGAAATAAAGGACGGTAGGGTAAAGCAGCAATAATTTAGTTCTCTGATTGACAAAGTTACTCAGTGAGTCATTGAACCAGATCCTGCCAGTGACTTATATGAATTGATTAAAATAGATTTTATTATGTCATGATGAGCTGTGATGGTGACTATGATGGTACATTTCTTCACTGCCTTAACCAAAGGTTTGAGGGAATTGCTGGTAATAAATCTAGAATTGTAGGTAAGCGAGCAGCAATGACCAAGAAGACCTCACCCCTCACCCTACTCATATTATGTTAGATATTTTGTTTCATTGACAGATGAAACTGAGTAACAAAATAACATAGTTTACATCTGAGATAAGTAACTTTTTATTTACAAACTTGCTTCTCAAGCTTTAAGTCAGAAAACAAGGAGATTTGTAAGGCTTAAATAGTGATTCTCCAGTTCCCATCTTGTTTATGCTGAGCTTTTCTCTGGACTGAATTTTTGCTTGTAAATGACAAAATTATTGGCCTCTATTTGACTATATTTAAATATGGCTGTCATGGAATAATGTAATGAAAATTGTTTCTACTTGCATTTTTAACTTTTCCTGAAAAATTCAGTTAGGGACACTTTGTTTTTGTCACAGTATCAGTCATACCATTGCTTTTGTTAACTTGCACCCACCTGTTTTCAGTAAACTATCCACAATATCTCAGTGTCTGATAGAATTCACTTCTCTATATATTGTTCTAGGAGGGATAACAAGGAAAGGGAAAGGATGTAGCATGTGACCTGCAAAGTTGAGTCTCTGGAACAAAAGGGTTACCTGAAGAAATTTCTGTTTCCTTTCACCTTGCACAGCAGGAACATAGAGTGGGATCTGAGAATATCTAAAAGGTCAAAACATGTCTGTAGACACTCCAAAGACATATCTGTGTATTACCTAGGATCTTGGTATTGTCATGCAGGCAGAAGTTGAGTCCAGAAGAACCCCACCTGCTTTAAGCTTATCTTAGCAAATTAAGTTAGTATAGATGATATACTTTTAGTACCAGATGGTGATAAACAGTGATATT